TTGTTATGGATTCACAGTCAGTGAAATGCTACGTTTTGAAACCAAAGCTAAGTGCTTCAAACCACTCACCAAGATATGGATCGTTGCAATATTGCAATATTGGATTCATCGTGAATGAAGAGAAAGCAGAACGTGTGCGCCACATGCTGTGTGGTTCATCTTACATTGTTAAGTTCCAATGAGTTTTTACGTAAAAACACAAACAAAGCGGCCCTTTTCAGGCCCACCACACACTCCAAAAAGAGAACTACCGTATCAAACACACTATTTAAATAAATAGAACGCGTTCGTTTTTGACTAATAAAACTTTATTGTTGACCCCGTTCTTGGCTAAAAATCATCCTGGGCGTTTAACCGAGGATGTCCCCAACATGTAACTTTTGTGAAAACAGGGGGAGGGCGCTTGCCCAGGGAGGGGCGCGTGCCCGGGGTAATACGGTAAGTAGAATATTCCAGGAAAGATGGACTCTGGGTGATGAGTGTTCTGGCAAACTGACAATGAGACATGCCATTATGCGAGAAATTGAACGCGACACTGACAATGCCAATATTATTAATATAAATCCATTTACAACATCTCAACAAACTACCAATCAAAGGAATTTACATTTATCATTTCATGTTATTAATCATTCACAGTTTTATGTTTGTATTATTGCATATATTTTATATAGAGAGTTACACAGCAATGACTTTTGTTCCTACAAAGCAATGGAATAGTCCAACTACCCCTCGTCCCTTGTGACCACACATCAAAAGCGTCACGTGATCGGGAATCCGGTGTTTTGATTAACTGTCACATGAGCGGGAATTGCCCACCAGGTGCGGCAGTTAAGTGTATGTAAATATCTTGTGCTCGCTGTAATGTGTGCATAGATTTAAAACCATGGCGTCATATCCAATGGTGATGATAAAACTGATGGTTTGTATGCTGTACCCGTCTTCAGTGTCCATTAAACAATTCCACTTACATTTGTCGAATTAGTGGATTTCCAGACAGCAGAAAACAGTGATTCATGAGACAGTGTGGTCTGAAACATGGTATGGTCAGAGACGGTGTGGTCTGAGACATGGTATGGTCAGAGACGGTGTGGTCTGAGACTGGACATGGTCAGAGACGGTGTGGTCCGAGACTGGACATGGGTGCCAAATTTTAATTTCATATTATCATTTCCAGATGGCAAAAAATAAAGGCTTGACGCCAAAAAGAAAGAAGTCTCTGCGTAACCCAAGAGTAAAGCACAGGGAAAAGTACAGGAAAGCCAAAATAAGACGAAAAGGACAGGTACACATTATTCAAATCAAGATGCTGTGTTCAAGTTACGAATATAGAGTTGTATATACATAGTTCGGTTAACTGATAATTAAAATTTGAATGTTAAACAAAACAAAAAATGTATGTTGCCTGTAACTCAAAGTTCGGTTAACTGAACATAAATTAAAATTTGGGTGTGGTTTCTGAAATATAAGCATGGTAATTTGTGTAACTTGATATCCGTAACTCAAACATTTCAGCATCTCTTCTTTCTACACTAGGAAATCAGAATTTTCCAATAAAAAATGGCAATTAAATTGAATGTGTAACTTTGTTCAAACTTTTTATACTATTCTTGTATTACAGGTTAGAGAGGTTCGTAAGGAGGTTGATCGATATGGCGGTGAAATATCCGGAATTCGAGCTGGTGTCATCAAAAGTATAAAACTGAAAACCTAGCAGTTAATTTTTATTTTAAACTTCAGCATTTAAATAAAAATATCTTCTGATAATCTATTGGTCTCTGTACATATGTATTCTCAAATGATTAGTATTCCTAGTGTCTTCAAGATCAGACTGGTGAGCGGTTAAAATAATAAATTCTGCTCACTTGTCAGGCTTGTGTTGTCCCCGATTTCCAAGTAATACTATGTTTTTAATATATAAACATAGATAAAGAAGCCATGCATCGCACAGTCCCAGATATCAAATTTAAGATGTATAGTTTTTTTTATAGTAATAGAAATGTGGATCCAGAAGCTGATGTTTGATTATGATGCTTTTTCAACATTAAAATGACATTCAGTTATCTTGTATCTGATCGTCAAACAAGTCCATATTGAGAGATATTGTTCTGGAATGGCATTACTTTAAACAAAATGGCCACCAGTCGACAGTCAACCCAATACATCTGTATATCTCTAGAACAGCATTTGTTAAAACAAAATGGCCACTATTCGGCCATCATGAATTAGATAGTGAAACATATGTGCCTACCAGGAATACATAATAGGAATGCCGAAATCCAAAAAGTATAGAACAGATTTAGCGAACTTCTTTGTGTGGGGTCAGCCATGTTTGTGTTTATTAGAGGACGCTTATGCACTTAATCATTCCATATGTGAAATTTGCGAAAACGCCCAGTGCAATACCACAAAATTACGTTACAATGACAGATGTATGTGTGAAGTTTGAATGTAATTGGTCCAGGCATGTCCAAGATATAGGTCTGGACGCATGGATGCACAAACACCAATCCACAAGTCCCTGACTGCTTCCGAATGAGGACTAATAAAGTCAGCATTACATTGTATGATTTTAATAAAAATTTATTTTCAAAAAACAGATATACATCTTTGAACAATATATTTAACAATGCATAAGAGTAGCAAGCATTTGTGATTAGAATTAACAATCAAGCCAGACAATATGGATTCAACCATTAAAAATGGAGGGAGCAAGTAAATATTTTGACACCCCCCTCCCCCAGTTATAATGGTGCATCCTATTACTATTGGTAGCATTGTTTTTAAGATAATTGATAGTTTCTACATCACGATTGTTTGTTGTTCGCAATTTAAGGGAGAAAGAACAATGCTAAATTTTTGTTGGTGTATCAGTATAAACACATTTTGCCGACACATAATCCAAACATTGTATTTAACTTTAGTCAACACCTGCATTGCTACCAAATCCACCACAGTTCCTGTGAGATAAATGTTATTTACCGGTATATATTTACTAAATCTACCATTGCTGCCCAATCTGTACGACAATATCCTAATTGCTGGGTGCCATAAATGACTACATTAACTCAAGATAGATTTATAATGTGCAACATAAAAATAAAATGAGAACACTTAACAAGAAAAAATATCACAGTTTATATTAGAACAAGCTAGATGGTTCACTCAAGAATGATCAGAATGGAGAAATTGGTTCTGTGAATTCCATTCAAATGTCTTAATTTTCACTTCACAATTTTCTGGAGTTTTGTGTAAATATAATCTAAACAAATGGCAGTGCATGAAGGACTTAAAGGGTGGTGTTAGTTCCAATCATAGAAGTTAAACCTTCAGTTTTTTGTGTGCAATCAAAGTTGACTTCTTTGTTAATATGGGACCAATATTTCACACATGCATACACATGGTGCAACCACTACCCTTTAATGCAATTACCTTGTATATTTCTGACATCCATTAATAATTGCATAAGCTGGCAAAACAAAACCATTTTGGTGAAATTTACTTAAGAAATGAACCTTTTGATGCCTGAGACAACTTTATGTGCAACTTCATTGTGAGTAGATTTGTTCCTAGCAAAATGACATTCCCACTTTCCATGAAAAACACAGTAATGCATACATACTATGAGATTATGTTCAATAGCAGTATGGCGAACAACCAGCTGCTATAGGCCGCTGCATTAGTTTACGTTCCACGTATATCATCACATCAGATCACAAGTGATCAATGAGTGATATATATTCAGACATTGACCATGCTGATTGGCAAAATGTAAAAAAAATTAACATAGTACAGCGGCCTATATAGCTGTATCATTTCTGTGTATACTTAACCCTTATGAGGACCATCATTTTCTTCATCTATTTTTGTTTTTTTTAATTTATAACAAAAGATTATTGATACAGTTTTACAAAATCATTGACAATTTTCCAGTATGATGCGTCTTATTTACTGGCTACAGAAAAAAAATTGATAAAGAAAAATATGTGATTTTTATTTTGTTAAAGGTGACAAAAGTATTAAAATTATACCAGTCCTTGGAGACACAAACTAAGAGCAAATACATCAAGTGCAACCTGTCTATACTGAACACCAAGGACTTTGTGTACAACCCATTCAGTTAAGACAGGTTTAAATATAATGCTTGACCATATATGGCACCCTACTGTGTAAAGGTTATTTCTTTTTCATGTACAATTTTGACAGACAAAACAATACCTATGTACGTAAGATTACACTAAGCCCCAAAACAGGCAAAATGAATTTGTGTAGTCAAGTGTGTTTGAGTCGCAGTGTTTTATATTATCTGACAAAATGGTAACATTGTGTTGTGCAAAGAATTGTCTTGCTTGTTTCTGCAAAAAATACTGATAAATGTGACCTTTGATAATGATTCTTCACACAATATTATATTTAGTCACTTCTAAATTGACAGTAAATTTTAATAAAAATTTGAACAAACATGGAAATAAGTTTCCAAAATTCATCTGGATGCAAGCATTCAAGTGATGTCAATTATTTCACATATAAACTAGTTATAAAAGTCCACACCATCAAGGTCCATGTAAAGTCTTTGCAAGTAATGAGACTGATGCTTTGTTCACATCTCCTCCACATAGTCTTAGCTCCTCTAAAACATTTTGTCTTGAAAAACCCATGTCTGTTAATTTTTTGATGTCAGCTTCTTGAGAGTCACTGGAACTAGGCCCGGCTGTTGAAAGGAATTATCGGCTTGTTCATTACTTTACACACAGAAAAAGACTAATTTCAGAAAATTGTTATTTAAAAACATTTTCCACTTAAATAAAATTAGGAACATCAGGAACAATTATGCATAATATAAAATTTTGGTACAATTCATAAAGTTATCTTTGTTCTGTTTTCAAAGCTACTAGAGATGAAGTTGGTAATCAGGAATGAAGAACAATGCATTCTGTTTTCAAAGCTACTAGAGATGAAGTTGGTAATCAGGAATGAAGGACAATGCATTCTGTTTTCAAAGCTACTAGAGATGAAGTTGGTAATCAGGAATGAAGGACAATGCATTCTGTTTTCAAAGCTACTAGAGATGAAGTTGGTAATCAGGAATGAAGGACAATGCATACAACTGGCAGCAAAAACAATGGAATTCATTTGTCTGTAAAATAATGTATGGACGTGTTTGATACATTATTTTGAACTATATTTGCATCAAATTCAAATGTATTCCTTTGTTTATATCAAACACAGCAACAATGTAGCACATAATCACATCACTGACTGCAAACGATATATTGAAGTATGGGATCAACCTCTGATCTGTTTTAGTCAATACAATCACTGTTCTGTCTTCACATGTACTTTGCAGTAATAACTTCTTTATTAGCTACCACTGTAGGTGTCCTAACTAACACTTATACAGATTTATTTACTATTATGACAAGTACAGTGACATAATTTGTTATGTCTACATACAGTAGTATTGCTACAGCAGGCTACTCAAATCAATCACCCTCATTCTAATAAACTTCTGCAATATTTGAATTTTGAAATCAGTAAACTAAGATACTAGTACTTCAAAAAGGTAATTTCAAATTAATAGTACAAGATGGGAAATTGAAGCATGAGAAATGAGCATAATGAAAACTAATTAACTAACTAAATTTTGCCTATATCAAATATTTTTATTCAAGAATTTACTTAAGGTAGAGATGCATGTTCGTGGGCACTTGGGAGTGAGTTTTTTTTTTTTTTGCTTTTTATTATCCAAACAGTCTTGGCTATAGACTGTTACAATTTTGTAGAATTGTGAATAGAGGAACATACTCAAAAAACAATTTTAAAATATAGATAACAGGTGCAAACATTATCTCTTTTGAATGCTTAGCAAGATTTAGCAAGGCTGTACATAAATAATAAAAAAGAAACATGTTGAAAAAAAGAAATGACGAGATCTCCATATTATGCACAATATTTATTATTTAACAAAACGATAATACATTCAAATGTGGAACTGTTACAGCCATTTTAATTATGAGCATTAGCAAACTTTTTACCGAGAGTATTGTTATGCAAATTAGCAATTATCTCAGCTTCTTTTTAGTGCACATCCCAGAACTTTAAAAAAATAGCTCCTAGATGCTTTGACTTTTTTTCAAGACACCACTTTCTTCATAGCAAACAGATGTACCCATAAACCAATTTTGACAGGGAACAGAAGCATGGTTTAGAAGCTATTTTTTTTTCAATCACTTTTGACCAAAAAAGCATATTTTTGTGCATATTTCAAACTACAGTGTTCATAAAAAAAATACTAACAAAATTTTATAATTCATACAATAAGCTCTTCGAAAATATATAGTTTTGTGGACAAGGGAGGTCATCTTGGTTCTCTAAATAACTAATTAACATATCTGTCAGGTAAACTGCATCTCTACCTTAAACGACATTAAAATAACAAGTTTACTAATAATTCAATAATAGTACTTAATTTAATTTATGGGTGTCACACAATTGATGGTTTGAGGCCAGCTAAACCTAGGTGCATAGACTAAAATAAGCTTCATGCCTAACTTCACAATCTTTTCCCCTAACTTCACAATCTTTTCACCTAACTTCACAATCACTTTATCTAACTTTGTAATCTTCATGCCTAACTTCACAATCTTTTCACCTAACTTCACAATCACTTTATCTAACTTTGTAATCTTCATGCCTAACTTCACAATCTTTTCACCTAACTTCACAATCACTTTATCTAACTTTGTAATCTTCATGCCCAACTTCACAATCTTTTCATCTAACTTTGTAATCTTCATGCCCAACTTCACAATCTTTTCCCCTAACTTCACAATCACTTTATCTAACTTTGTAATCTTCATGCCCAACTTCACAATCTTTTCCCCTAACTTCACAATCACTTTATCTAACTTTGTAATCTTCATGCCTAACTTCACAATCTTTTCGCCTAACTTCACAATCTTTTCGCCTAACTTCACAATCTTTTCACCTAACTTCACAATCACTTTATCTAACTTTGTAATCTTCATGCCTAACTTCACAATCTTTTCAGCTAACTTCACAATCCATGTCTTACCATTGCAGTTCCTATTAAGACATTCCTAAAAACATATAAAATGATTACAGACACTATTACCTCAATAAATTAGTTGAGGTTTTTTTATTCAGATTTCAACTATTTACTTTTTAAATATATCCACTAGATCTCAAAAACAAATAAAATAACCATTTTACAATGGATGTTGCATATGTCTTGTTGCCATGGATACATACCTGCTTCTTCAGCTGATTGTTGCATTGCTTCTGCTAGTGCTTTGTCATCCTCTTCACTCACTGATAAACTCCGGTTTAATCGAGCACACTCCGGCAGCTCACTCTCACTAAGGAAAGGAGTCTCTTTCCCAGTTGTTCCTATTGACAGGACATTTCTTTTTAAATCTATAGTACACTAACAAGTAAATAAATATGTTAGACGATCCAATATTGACTTTTCAGAGTACAAATGAAAATTATTTCCCCTCTTATATACCTTGCATCTATAATGATACAGACAAGGTAAAAAATTCACTGTATAATTTTTCAATTTTCTTAAGGGACGACGTCAAAAGATCGATGTCGGATAAAAAACTTAATTCCTTTAGTTTTTTTCCAAACCCCCCTACCCCCACTGAAACTTAATTGATAAATATTGGTCATGGCGTCGGACTACATTCACCATTAAATACAAATTGATAAACGGACAGTAGTATTGCATAGACGTTGGTTTTCGGGTGGGTGTAAAAAGATTTTACAAATGCACCTCATTTGACGCACAGATTTACACTCGAACCAAACCATTTTTCTGTTTTTTTCCCTTTTCGGTTATTTCTGTCCATGATTGGATAGAAAAAAAAAAACGAACGACAAATACTATAAGATTTTTTTGACTTCATTAAAAAATAAAATTGTTTTTGTAGGATGGAAACTTTTTGAGGTTAAAACCCCCCACCCCCAAACTAAAGGAAATAAGTTTTTTATCCAACATCGATCTTTTGACGTCGTCCCTAACATTAAGCAAAACCATTTTCTGTGGGATACATGTGTAACTTGCAAAGAACAATGTATGAATCTTATACTACCCAACAGTTCAATTTTACGAAAGCTGCGGGCCCTGTTGATTCAATTTACTCTTGCATGTATTGGTTATATATCTACTATTGAGGCCTATAGAGGGCAGCAGACAGATTTACCTTGTGACAGTGATTAGATTCACCAATCAGACTGTATCACTACATGCTTGAAATCATTAAAGGCCCGGTAGCTGTAATGAAAACGTCTCTAACGGCGTTCTAAATAACTATTTGGGGTTGAAAACTTGTTGCATTTATCTTTGAAATTACTTATCTCCTGTTATAATAAAATTTACATCGATCTCTGTGCGAATACGAATGCGGAGAAAATGCTGACGATCGAACTCAACGCCATATTTCTATGTGGCTTGACTGATCACGAGATGAAGAACTCCAACAATCATTGACGCTGCATATCGCGCTTGGTGTGCTGGGAGTTTGTTCGAAATTTCGAACGTTTCGAAGCCAATTGTCGATTGCCACGTGATTTACGGATATATTAAATCGTTTCAGAGACCTGTTTACTAAATAATGATAAATGAAACTTAGAAAGCTTGTAAGAACAAACTGGGCCCAAATCGCGCAAATTGCAATAAGTTTACGCTGGTTCCGATGGAGTTCTACGCGTGATTTTATTGCGCTCAAGGACGTTCTATTTTCGAACTAGTTGAAACTGGAAATAACGCAACTACTTTCGAACTTCAAACACAAATTTGATTATCGTTATTATGTGTTAGTTTCTGTTGTTTCAAAGATTGAATTATGTATGACAATAATATTTCACTCTATAAACAATATTTCACTAAAATATGTGATTCAAAGGCAACCCAAATTGTAAAAAGCAATATCAAGTTCCGCGTATAAACACTGTTGTAAAGAGGCGGCGGAGCGGATTTTTAGCCAAAATCGTTTAGTAAGGCGTCATATGACACAGGTTTGTGCTGGGACAGCGCTTCCGGTGACGACACAACGGTAAGGCGTCATATGACACAGGTTTGTGCTGGGACAGCGCTTCCGGTGACGACACAACGGTAAAGCGTCATATGACACAGGTTTGTGCTGGGACAGCGCTTCCGGTGACGACACAACGAAGTACTCGGAATTGCGCACGCGCAAACAATCAGTAATGACGTATGATGGTTTAACAAACGGAGCTTAGGGTACGTACAATAAACACTTCACGATGTTGATTCAGTGCTTTTAGCGAGCTTATAAAGCATACAGAAGGGCCCGGTACCAAATAATTGAACTAGTTCAGCTAATAGAACGG